TGCCAAAAAATTGCTTTATTGGAGCACACTGTACAAATTCATCATTTGGGCCTCAACTAATTTTACAGGACACCACAAATTGCTTTTTAAATTTGCTCTTAAAGTCATTAGAAACAGACAAAAACAGTGCAATCTACATAGAAACTGCAATATACAGTAATAAAATATCTGGAATTTGCAATTTACACTCTACATAATTGATCATAATGATTGTCGAACAAACTTGTCAACACCAACAGAAAAACAAGTGCAACAGACTAAATCAGATATTAAAATAAATACACTAAAATTAACGAACAGACCAGGGGTGTCCAAACTTTTTGGGCCGAGGGCCAGATGCAAAAAAAAAATGTTGTCCCGGTTCATATATTAGATACATTACACAGACACGCACATATATATATATATATATATATATATATATATATATATATATATAAAAGGGTGTGTGTGTATATGTATAAGTATGTATGTATGTGTGTGTGTGTGTGTATGTGTGTTATGGAATTATTTTAATTTGTTATTTTAATTCCTCGTTAAACTGTGTTTCTAGAAAGACTTTCGTTTTTAAAAATCTTCAATCTTCTCTGGGCAAATTACAGTTGCAACACTCATCCTTTATAAATTCTCCTTCAGTGAAAGGTTTCCTGTGCCGTGCGATTAGCTGGGCTACATCATAACTAGCCAGCGTAGAATTTTCTTGCACTTTATTAGCACGAAAAAAAAACTGCTGTTGTTGAGCTGACAGGGCAGCTGCTAGTTCTTTTACTTTTTGATCTCGTTCTGCACCAGTGTAAGAGCTGAAGGCCTGAAGTTTTATTTTATAATGTCTTTTAATATTATATTCATTCATTACTGCAACTGATTCCTGGCAAATTAAACAGACACATATTCCATTGACCTCTGTGAAGAAATATTCTTTGCCCCATCCTGACTGAAATTTCCTGCACTCACTGTTGATTTTCCTTTTTCTTGCTTGTGCCATGGCTGGCCAAAACGTGATTATCAATTATGTTTCTTTCAGTTTGTTCGGTGCGTTTTACTTCATAACAGGAACTGCTGCCTAATTGAAGGGATGTAATAGCGACACCCGGTGGTTATTTATTGAATTATGTTCATTTTTGTATGGCGGGCCAGATTCTATTAATATTCATAAAAAGCCTCGCGCAGGGCCGGAGTGGGACTCTTTTTCAGCCCTGGAGTTTCAAGCCTCAGACCGGCCCACCTCAGTTCAAGACGGACTATATTAAAATAAGGTCATTTCCAATTCAGTTTCTAATACTCTATCACGTCTTTTTTTGAGAAAACAGCCGCTTTAGAACTTTAAATGTTCAACAACCCTAACAGTATTATATGTCTTGACAATAAAAATGAAAAAAAATAATAATAATAATAACATACTCAGTCAAGGATCAAACCCGGGTCGGCAGCATCATAATTTAACGTGCTAACCACTGGACCACAACAGTTGGATATGGAGCAGTGACTCATGATGAATAAGAAAAAAATGATGAATAAGAAGAATGTGGTCAAGTAAATAAATTAATTAATTTAAAAAGTGTGACTGCTGAGAGCAACAGATTCTGGAGCTAGGGACACCGGCCCTCGCGGCCAAAAAACGGACCGGCCCACCGGGAATTCTCCCGGTCCTCCCGATTAGCCAATCCGGGCCTGGCCTCGCGGTTTTTAGAGGACCCGCGGGCCGTAGTTTGGACACCCCTGCAACAGACTAAATCAGATCTTTTACATGTTTGATTCTCACACCAAATTGTGACTGAGGACAGTTGAATGTGCTGGCCAGTTTGTTTGTTGTCTATTAAATGACAGTAGGATATAGTTGTTGTTTTTTACTTGAGCAGATTGCTATTAATACTAATAATATATGATGTAATGCATTTGTATTTTAAAAATGAGTCTTGTTTTAATTTTTTTTATTGCTAATTTTTAGGAAATATTTTTAGTGCGTCAAAAAGTGTGGTTCTGATGACATCTGACTAGCTAATCCAGCAAAAAAAAGTCACTTAAATGCAGTATTTAAATCTCATAGTTAAATAGAAACAGATAACTGCAAAAAGGTCCACTTTTTAAGAAAAAAGAACCAGCCCTTTCACCAGGCTGGCTACAGGCCGGATATTTCTGCGCTCGATGCTTGCATTTAAATGGCTTATCATCTCATTTAACGCTTGAATAACTAAAAGAATGCTTGAGTCTATTTAACTGACTATATTTTAATTAAAAGACACTATTCAACTAAAAATACTCACGCTAAACTTCCACTGACAGTATATCCAGCCTGATCTCACGAGAAAACGTAAGCATTTTACGTTTTGCCAATTTAGTGGCTAATTCGTACGAAATGGTACGATTTTAAAAAGGAGGCGTGGCACCTAACCCCACCCCTAACCCCAACCGTCATTGGGGGATGAGCAAATCGTAATAAATTGTACGAATTAGATCGCACGAATTCATACGAATTAGCCACTAAATAAAAAAGTTACGAATTGCCGTGAGGTGTTGGTATATCTGTGGCTGAAGAACAACTGGTCACATAACGCAATTAGAGAGAGCGCGAGTATGTGTTGAAGCCGGTAACATGTTCTGTATGATACTGAGTGTGCATGTGTGTGTACGTGTATGTGTGTTGAGACTAAAGAGAGTAAAGTTTGAGCTGTTCCTCCACGTCTCCCTCCGTCATTTCTCCAAACGTGTCCTGATTGTCTTTCAGCAGTCTGAAGATGGCCGCCAACTGCTCCTGCTGGACCCTGAACACACACACACACACACACGTTTGTTTTTTGTGAAAAGTGGGGACATTACATAGGTTTCCATTCATTTTATATGGTCCAAACCGTATATTGTATTGCCCTCACCCCACCCCTAACCCCAACCATCACAGGAGACAGTGTGCAGCTTTACTCTCTGATTGAACTCATCCTGTAGGATTTATAAGCATTTTGAGAAATGAAGACGTCACCAATGTCCTCATATTTCACCTCCTTTTTGGAATACCTGTGTCATACCCATGTCATTATGCAGATTTGTGTCCTGATATGTCACAAAAACACACACACACACACACACACACACACACACACACACTTTATTTAGTAAATTTCTATAAAAATTGAGTTGATTTTATTACTGGTTTTGTTACTTTTAGTTTATAATTTCATTTGGTGAACACGTTTCTGTTTATATATTCAGTTTAACTCTTGTGCAAACTCTAACAAACATAAAATAATTTTAAAAACATTTATTTCCTGTATATTCATTTTTATCTTAATATAAGTAGCAGAATGGCTACTTCAGAAGACTTAAGAAGCTGTTTATCTTTAAATGAAAAGACTTATTATTTTGACTGCTGTTTTCTGAAAAAACTTAAATGTCCAAATGACAACATTTCTGCTTAAAATTTGTCTAAATGAGACTAAAATGACTACAATTAATTTACTTTTATAATGTATCTTTGTCATGATGACAGTAAATAATATTAGACTGAGTATTCTTCAAGACCCTTCTATACAGCTTAAAGTGACATTAAAATGCTTCACT